AATCCTACTCAATCTTGTTTTTTTTAATTTTTTATGTTCTATAGTACATGGTCTCAGGCCAAATTTTGCCAAAATTGAAAAGTAGAGAATTCTCCATTTTTATAATATTTTCTGATGCATATACATGTTCTTACGTTGCATAGAAAGTTTGAACTGATTCCCATGAATATTGGACTTTTTACGAAATTTTAAAGTTGTTCAAAATTAAATCTGATCAACATAGGCATGCAGGGGCACTTTGTCAATTAAATGACTCCTCCATTTTTATAATTTAATTTTCACGTGTGGTCAACATAAAAGCAGGAATGTTGTGAGTGTGTGCCTGCTTTGTTGGCAAGCATTTCTCTTTATGGATATGTATTGTAACAATTAGAATTAGACTCATGCAGGTACAGTTGTACGTGCATGTGATGTGTGTGTGTGTGTGTGTGTGTGTGTGTATGTGTGTGTGTGTGTGTGTGTGTGTGTGTGTGTGTGTGTGTGTGTGTGTGTACATGCACATGTACATGCATGACTTAAAGCTTTTGTTTGTGTGTTAATTCTCAATTAAATCTCTTTTGTTGAAATTATTGTGTGTCCATTGTTACTCTTCCATATGTCTCCTTCTTTGCCTCCTCCTCCTCCTCCTTCCATTTTCCCTTCTTCTCCTATACAGATTGTAAAAAATGAACGTTACAGCTACTCAGTTGATTTCTGGTCTCTCGGTGTTCTCTCTTACGAGATGCTCACAGGACAGTCTCCATTTAGCGGCGACAGTGAAGAAGAACTCTTTGATTCTATTTGTAACTGCAACGTACCTTTTCCCTCATTCCTGGCCCCTAGCTCCATTGACTACCTCAAAAAAGTAAAAAAATTAACACTTTTTTGTGCTATATAATCAACATGCATGTACATGTACATACATGTACATGTAGCTCAAATTGATTCAAGAGAGCCAGACTGCAAATATATGATTAAGATAATTTTAAGTATTATAATATTATTATTTGTTTTTTCAGTTGCTAGAGAGGGATCCTGAAAAGAGATTAGGCTGTATGGAGGACAGGATGCCCATTAGGAGTCATCCTTTCTTTTCGCCGATTGACTGGGTCAAACTGGAAACAAGGGAGTCTGAACCTCCTTTCAAACCAAAAGTTGTAAGTTTAAGCTTTTCCAGTACATAATACTACATATACTACTTTATTAAAAATACTTTCACGTACATATATTTTTTTAAATTAAGGATACAACGGTTATTATATTACTGTTATTTTAGAAATCACCTGGTGACGTCAGCAATTTTGATGATGATTTTACATTTCAAGAACCCAATCTAACTCCTTGCGATAACAGGCTTGTGCAATCAATCGACCAATCAAATTTCAGAGGTTTTTCGTATACAAACGATCGTATAAAAATTTAAAAGACACAAGTGATTGATGGTCTATTTTTTAAAATATTTTAATTTTTGTTGTTGCTCTTTTTTCTTATCTAGTTTTGTTTAGATTCTCCTAATACAATGATAATAATAATTATAAGTTGTGTCTATTATGGAGAAGAAAAAAATAATTTTTAAATTAACTATAATTGTCAGTAGAAATTAATTTTTGCCTAGTTATTAACTAATTATTAAATGGTTATTAACTAGTTATTACGGATAAAATGGCGAATTGGAAAGTAGTAGGTGGTTTGGCTGGCCTAAGTCTCATTGGCGTGGGAGCTGCTGCTTGCTTCTATTGCATTGGCTACAAGCAAGGAAAGAGATCAATTTCCCGACCAGTTGGTAAAAGCTACGCTCAAGCTGACACTTCCCTAACTCGCTACATTAATGAGCACAACCACGAGGACCCGGTCCTGGCAGAATTACGCCAAGTCTCGCTTCAACACTCTGCAGGACGGATGACCTCTTCACTGGAGACTGGTAGACTCTTGACTGTATTATGTACCTCACTGGGTGCTACTAAAGTCATAGACGTGGGCCTCTTTACAGGCTGCAGCTCTTACTCCATGGCTAAAGGGATGAAAGATGGCGGGCGTGTAATAGCTTGCGATATTAATTCCAATTATGCCGATATTGGTAGGCCTTTTTGGGTCCAAGGGGGCGTCGCGGAGAAGATTGAGGTACGTTTGAAGCCAGCTTTAGACACCATCCAAGAACTTCTTGATGCTGGAGAGGGTGAGACATTTGACATGATGTTCATTGATGCTTTTAAGAAAGATTATCCAAATTATTTCAAGAAAGGTATGAGCCTGTTACGTTCTGGCGGAATGATAGTTGTTGATAACGCATTGTGGCATGGGGCAGTTGCTGACCCGGCAAGCAATAATGAAGACACGAATGCAATACGCGAAATAAACCGATTGATGTCGGAAGATGAGAGGGTGGAGTTTGTGTTAATGAATATCGCTGATGGGCTAGGGATCGCTGTAAAGAAGTGATTGAACAAACTATACTTTATTTATTTTGCTGAAAACTACTAAAATTGCTTTATTATTGCTAAAATAAAAGAATTGCTAAAATCTAATTGCTAAATGAATGCTCTAATCATAGATACTATGTAGTATACCTATGTTCTAATGCTAAGTCTAATAGTTCTAACAGCCTCCTATTGAGCTACTTCTTGTCTTCTTTAAGAACTAACTGCAGCACTCAATCTCTTTCAGACACTGCCCAGAATTGCACATGACACTACTGTAGCGATAGCCAGTAACATGGATGCCTTTCCTCTTCCTCCCTTGCTCCTTTCCCCCACTGCAGATCAAATGATCAGTAACACCATTCTCCTTCTTGCACTGGTTGTAGCCATTTTTAATCTTCTTTCCCTCCAGACTGCAGCATTCGCCTCTCTGGACAGAGAGACCAATGAATCGGATCCCATTCAAGAACTCCCCGTGGTGACATTGGAATTGGCTTGCAGCATAACTTGTCCACCAGTTCCTTTGATAACATTTGGTTGCTTCAGCTAGCGGATATAAGCTTGAATTGTCTCCTCTCTCTCTTCTAGGGAGAGGAGACATGCAGCATACAAGACCATTGATAAAAGGAGAGCCGTGAGATTTAAATGCGAATCCGGATACATAATATCCATTTTTCTTGCATCTTATCCATCCTTCTTCATTAGTGTTGTTATCAGTGTAGCAGAATGGTACCTCAAGCAAAGGGAATGAGCTACAAATTGGGTTGCTAGTATTGTATAGGACAAACTTTTGTCGATATTTGTCCTGACTGCATCGATCCAAACCAGCCAGAGGTGGGCTTATGATATCAATATCTCTGGGTCTCCTAAGCATTTCTGACAGCTCTTTCTCCAGTGAGTGTGAAATGATGACCCTATTATTCTTATCCTTCCCTTTACTGAGTAAGCAATAGCCAGACTCTGGCTGCACAATCAAGTATTTATCACAGAACCAGTTTATCCTCCAGGTTTTTGCTTTACAGCTTCTAAGGACTAAATCTGCTCTGTTTTTTTTTGAAGAGAGACAAAGTTTGGTTGCAGCATGAACAATGTGACCCTTAGTGTCCCACATCCATTTACTGGCCCAAATGCGATAGTTGCAAGTTCCAAAGGTTGCTTCATACTCAGTGTTAAATGGGTCATTCAGTTTATAGCCATGTTCCACCAGCTGAACTGTTAGACACTGACCAGAAGCAACGTGCTGGATCATGAAGATATCAAAAGAATTTGATGAAATTGGACTATGCTCTTCTTCTTTGTTATTGGGAACTTCTTCAGTATCAGAAGTATCAATGGAAGAATTGATAGGTGAGACTAAGTTACAAGAGTACATCAAGTTAGCTTGTACAATGTCAAGGTCGCTTGGCTTCTCGCGCTGTCCAATAGAGACCCCATTTTGGACAGGCATAACAGTTGGCTTTCCATTACTACTACAAGACTACAAGAAAAATATGAATTAAAAAAGTTGTATTTTGTGTTTCGCTCTTACAAAAACTGAGTAATGCATCACACTGTCATAGTCATACTCTATGCCCAGTGAGTCAATGAGGGAGTGAGAGTATTTCTGAAACTGTGTCTCTTTTCCTATCTTGATGTTCTCCCATAGAATGGTCACGTATGAGTCCCTGTCTGTTCGTGACTGCTCGTGCCAGAAACCAATCACATGGCCCAGCTCATGGATGGCAGTCCCAATGTCACAGTAAGAGGAAAAATACATTTTCTGTTCTCCAAAAATCCTTCCAACGTGACTCCTGCACCTATACCAAAATGGAAGGCAATACAATAACTGCTGGGATCTCTGAAGTATTGTTGCCCATTTGTTTCTTCATAATGATAATACTTAACATTGTGCTATATGCATGTAAGGATGCTTTCTGAAATAGTGTCAATTGGCGGAATTTCATGCAGCTGGGTTATTAACATTAAAGCGGCTTACCCTCCATATCCTAGTATGCGAACATAGTCAGTTTCAGTTGTCCTAGTAACAAACTTCAAGCAGGTATATTCCTCCCAATACTCGGCTGCTTTCCAGATTTTATCTTTGTCTAAAATTGGAGGATAAAAATAATTTTAAAAATGTTAGATGTAAACTTGCCAACGTCGCTATCAATCATTAATGGGATGATGCTGTTAGGCCATACATCAGTTTCAATAGCTGAAGCTCCTTGGTCACCGATTGAGTTTTGACTATTACGATGAGCTGCACTAGCTTTGAGAAGTACTTCTTTTTGTGTGTCAGTCAGCAAAATATCTGTTTCAAAAACATCTACGCCTATTAACAAACACAACAACAGTTTTACAAAGAGTTCTACAATTAATAAGATAGTGGCATGTATATGAAATGCCTTTTAGATTGCAAACTTTATTTTGACTCACTCAAGTTTGTGTTGACTTCAAGGATAGTGTTAGCGGCAGAACTAACTGTAACTGGAGCAGCTGCTGCTTGAGTGCTTGCAGCAACGACTAATCCAGCAATGAAGATCCTTTGAAGACAAGTGGCCATATTTCTCTAAGAAGTGTCTAGTCAAAAATACTAGCAACGTGCTTGCTTTTATACATGGTGGAGCTGTTCGTGCATTTTTAGCTAAGAATCCTAGAGTGAAGCCAATGACTTTTCCACTATTTCCCTCTTAACACATACCATAGCATAACTAGTAGCTATGATCAGAGGGAGAAATATAGTTTGCTAGTTGTGTTGGGGATTATAATAAGTTTTGAGTAGAAGCAGCAATAATAATCAAAATAAAGGAAGAGAAACAAAAAATAAAAGTATAATGTATGAGTTATTAGTTGTTGCAGCACGTGTATAAGGAGAAAGGTGGCGGAACTATATTTAGAAGTAAAAAATAAATAAAATAAAATCTATCATTTATAACTCACTTTTCTCTTTGAGACCTTTTCCAAAATTCATGATGACTCTGATAGTAACAATACAAATGAGGACACAAGCCAACAGACCAAGTCCACCTATCATTAACAAAATAATGACAGGAGGAGCCACGTGTTGATATAACTTACTTATGATGAACAGGAATATGGCCACATATTCATAATGACTGATGTCCTCATTATGACTGGCATAGTCATATGGATGATTATCATAAAAGGAATAGTTCTTTGCAACCTGTTAGAGGGCATACATGTATGTAAACTATTTGATACAAGGAAAGCAATTATAAATAATACTCACGTTATATATCTTGTAAATGTAATACGCTGGAGTTGGCAATAAAAAAGTCACAAAGACAACCATCATGCTTTTATGTTCATACCAGATCTAAAGAGAAAAGGAGAGAGAGAGAGAATGATTAAATATAACTTGTAAGCTCTTACCCCATACCAGCCAACAAGAGAAAGAGCTATAGTGTAAGCAACAAGTATTGGCAAAGCAACCATTTCTGGTGTATGGAGGAAAGTGGTATCACGTGAGAATGCCAGTATAACTAGATTAAACTATGAAGAGAAGTGCTGATGATATACTTGTAGATCTCCTTACTAGTAACTGGATGTTGAAGAATATAAGAACTGATAAAAAAGAAGAGAATTGATAAATTCCTATTTAAAAAATAAATAAAATATTCTAAAAAATGCTGTTAAATAGATCTAGTTACGCTTCATTCTTTTGTCCCGGTCTAAAAGTATGAACATCAATTTTCCCATTTTAATGTAAAGGGCTACAGTGGAGACTGCCAGTATCGGACCAAGTATCCATGAGGTCACTAATCTGACCTAAATAAAAACCATTGCTATAACTAGCATGATATATGGATACCATGGTCTTTTAATATCCTTGTAATCAAGACTCAACTTACAATTCTAAGTGCTAGTTCACCATGAGGAAAACTGCCTTCATCCTTATCCTTAATGTGAATCAAGTGATAGACCAAGTTAGCAGATAGATAAAAGAGTACAATAACAATTGGTATCAGTACACCCAGCAATTCTAACCCTCTCTCTCTTATCAGTCCATCAACACCGTAAAATAAAGCAAATACTAATTGGAAAAGATAATAGGAAAGGAAAGTTTCTCAGCTGATTCTGATTGAAATTAGATTTTTATGCCAATTTTAAAATACACTATAATCACATCAAACAAGGTACATGCATACTAGAAGCTTACTTAAGTTGACAATGAGAATCAGAGCAAAGGTGAAGTCACTAAGACAAGTCCAATGGTGACAGTGATCAATACAGTTTATGGAATTATTAGGAAGGCAAAAATGTTCAAAGACCTTCTCAGACGAACTAAAATTTTTGGAAAAGTGAACTAATCTTTCAATTGTAAAACCGAGTGACGTCATGAATGAAATCACACCAATCACAATGAATGCCCACTCAGCACGTTTGAAACTCCTAATATTACGAACCTATAATATAAATAAATGTGAAACTGTGTGTCGCTAAGTTATATACACAGGGCCGGGAAAGCAAAAAAATAATGGTCAGTTCCATGTAACTGCAGTCCTCTCGGTACTGTATTGCATGCATGTCAGTTAGGCTCAAACTTTACACTGAGTATTTTATTAGTTTATGCTGTACAAAAGTGCACTGCTTAGTTGTGCATATCCCAAATATTGGTCATTGACTGGCCTGAGTGGAATTCCAAGGCCTGATACACTACAGAAAGAAGCTTACAGCATTAGTCCTCTAGAAATACGACGCCTATTTTGAACTTAACAAATTTAAAGCTTTCAACTCACATTTCCGAGGAAGCCAGGCTTTATATAACTCTCTGCTGGAGAGGGCCCATCAGCCGCTCCATACGGCATAGGTTGTGATCTCTCGCCAGAGGCAGAGCTAACACTGTCTATCACATCATATTCTTCAGAGAGTCCATCAAAATCATTTCGGAGCGAGTTTCGGAGGCTCATTTCATTTGATACACAGCCGAATTTTAACACAATAATGGAGGAGTATCTACCTACCCAGGAATTGAATAAAAGGAAGGAGGTGTGCCAATATAATAAAACATGAAAATGAATGTAAACTCGCTGTTACATCTACTATTTTCACAAAAAACATAAAGATCATAGCAAAATGGGCTCATTTACAAAATTAGTCTCAAAAAATCAAGCAAAAAGTTTAACGATTCATAGATCCAGCAATCTTCTTGTACAGCAATGCAAAAGGAGGATCAACTAAGAAAACATGATAATAAAAATTATAAAAAATATTCATGCTCACCTTTTTCCTTGAGGCCAGCTTTCTTAAAATTTCGAATGACAAAGAAAGCAAAAATGCAAATGAGAACAAAAATCAAAAGTCCAATAACATCTGTATGCATAAAAGTGGATTATTATTATAAAATACAAAAAACAAAACTTACTAGCAACTAACAAAGCAGCTGCAACTAGCTCATAGTGACTGCTGTTGACTTCATGACTTGGGCCATCACGACCTGGATGTGAATTATAAAGTGGAAAGTTCTTAGCAACCTATAAAGAATAGCATATTTAAACAAAGCTATATATTACTGTTAACATTACATTAACTATCTTGTAAATGTAATAGACAGGAGTCAGTAGGAGGAAGACCAAGAATATGGCAGTGACACTGTATAACTCATACCAAATCTATAAAAAGGACATATTCAGTTAAATATGTATAAAATACTTATGAATTGCTAACTCCAATCCAACCCATTGGGGTAATGAACATTATGAAAGCTACCATGATCGGTAGAATGATCTTTTCGGTTGAATGAAGGAAGGTCCCATTACGCGTATAAGCAAGTACTAGCACGTTAATCTGTGGAAGAGGGAGACACTGCAGTAAGAGAAAGGGGAGGGGACTTACCAGTAACTGGATATTGAAAAACAAGAGGCTAGCCAAGAAAGAAGTGCATTGATAAGCACCTGTAAAAACAATTTAAGTTATAATGACTGGATTATCCGGTTTATCAGGTTATAATAACAGGTATTGATGATACTAACGTTTTAATGTTCGGTTCCCGCCAACAAGAAGGAACCAGAGTTTCCCCATTCTGAAGTACACTGCTATAGCAAATGCAACTAGTATAGGACCAAGTATCCACGAGACTACTAGCCGAATCTTTAAAAAATTATAATGAAAAAAGAATTTCGAAGAAGGATCTTACAATTCGGGCAGCAAGTTCCCCATGACTAAATTGTTCTTCGTTGTCTTGGGCTATATTCACCATGTGATAGATGAAGTTACTAGTTACATATAAAAGGACAATGACAACTGCAACAAAGACGCCAAGGAACTCGTAAGCTCTCTCTCTCAGGAGGCCATCAGCTCCATAGAACAAGCAAAAGGCTAGAGTTGGAAATAAAATTGTATAACAATCCTGCAAAACTGGACAATACTGTGATTTCCCTATGATAGAATGTGTTATGCACATGCTCAGTTGTGGACTTCTGCTGCATATGATCACAAAGTTGATAATGAAACCACTAAACCACATTCATCATACCGGTACAAAGGATCTGCTATTATATAGGCGGTAGCCTATATGTAGGGTTGAGGTTGATTTTTCAAGATGGCGACCAAATTTATATAATTTAATGTCACAACATTCTTATTGTTATGATAAAGCTTTGACCCTTTATAATAAGAATAAGCATAAGAATAATTATTACAGAGGTCAAAGATATCACAACTGTCACACATACCATTAATTCCCCATTACAAGCTATTATAAATTTGCTGTTTGCATTATAATACTGCATTACTGCTGAGCTACAAACTTATTATATTGTTCATACACAGTCAGATTGGGGGACAGAGTAGAATGGTAGCTGCTCTCACTTACACAAGTTTATAATAAGAATGACAGCAAAAGAGAAGTCACTGATACAAGTCCAGTCCTGGCATTCCGCTATGCAGTTAGTTGTGCTGTTGTAAGGATGACAAATGGTCTGATATGCTTCGGCAGATTCGTTAAAGTTCTTCTCAAAGTGAACAAATCTTTCTATTGTAATGCCGAGAGAAAACAGAAACGCTAGCAAACCGACGAAAATGAATACCCACTCCACCCACGTAAACCTTTTAAAGTTACGAACCTACAGATAAATAAAGATCATTTAAGCTCAGTGCTCTCATGGAGCACTCAAACACAATAACTCAAGCAATGTTTATTAAACTATATATACAGTGAAGGCTTACGTTTCCAAGGAGAGTAGGCTGCTTGTAGTCTGTAACGGCGGGTATGGCATTGTAGCCTTCTTTCCTCATCTCTTGGGGCTCACTAGACTCAGAAAGCAAAAGAGAATCTCGATCCATCACGCAGCAAAAGGCGAGGGCAAATGGTGCAGAAAGAAAATTAACCAGTGGTGGCCACACCTTCTGACCCCGCCCAGTTTAAAAATCTTATTGGCGCACAAGGAAGAGGGTAGATCTCGGGGTAGATAGATAGTGATGTCAGATAGCGAAGAGAACCAGTATTCCTCTCCTCCTGTTGCTTCAGAGGAGGCTCTGTCACCACCAGATGAATTTTCTACTATTTCTAAAGTAGAAGAAGAGAACATATCCGGAGAGATCGAAATTGATGGTGAGATTTTTATTTTCAATTTTTTTAAATATAGGCCTATAATTATAATGCACGTTTCTCTCTCCCTCTGTTTCTTTCATTAGTTGGTAAAGGACTCTTGGATGAAGTCAGTAAAGAAGTTGCTGGTAAAATAAATTACGACGGTCTTCTTATTTCAACCTCTCTCCTCGATAAAGGTATTCATGAACCATAATCATAATAAAATTGCATAAACAAAACAGCTCCTGCTAATTAGATTAAAGCGACTGATGCTGTAGTGTACCATGTGTAGTACATGTATGCCAATGTTTATGTGTTTTTTACTCAACAGAATTGGTAGTGAGCGACAGAATAAACTGCATATGTACATGTACATGTACATGTACATGTACATGTACATATGTATAATTTATGTACATGTACATATGGTGTGTATATTCACATGTAGTGTATTAGTGACATATTTTTGTGACTGTGAGGATTAACAGTGTCTGTGTGTGTTGTTATTGTTAGGTGATTATAAACCCATTGAAGATGAGGAGTTTGATTTTGATATCCCTGAGGAACACTTTAACATAAGGTATGTCCTCTGTCCTCATGTGTATTGAGTTTCACCTTTTGTTCTTCCTAATTACCTTTATCTCTTTCTTTTATATTCTTCTCTTCTTTTCCCTTTTCTTCATTCAGTCTCACAGGTGTGACACAGACTAGTATTGAGTCTGATAGTTTTGATCTTGATACGTTTCTCGGTATTCGTAAACTCCACACTGCAGGACCAAGTACTGACCCAACTCCACAACCACCTGGAACAGAAGCAGCAGCTGCAACTCAAGAAGAACCTGATCAAGTACAAGAGAGTGTCCTTTTGCCTTCAGCGGTTGAGGGCAGTCAAGAAGTAGCTGCTGGTAGTGGTGAAGATGACAATGTCCTCATTCCAGGTCCATCTTGTATTGGTGATGATGTTGTGGCTTTGAATAGCAATCAACAGTTAGACAATGAAGACAACAAACAGGAAAATAACAATGATAATATAACTAGCGACCCACCACCTGCTACTATTGCTCAAACAAGCGTACAGACTGATGGCGATAAATTAACTAGCAATGAGATCTCTCCTATTGTTGAGGACAAAGCTCCACCCATCATTGCCGATACTCCGCTAGACGCAAAAAAATTTCCTGCTGATGATGAAACGCCATATTCTGATTATGTAACCCCGCCCACTAGAATACATGAAATATCGTCTGAGACTAGCGGAGCTATAACTGCTGACTCGGCAGATTTTAGTTCGTCAAGTTATTCCAGTACTTGTCTGATGACTGCCGATACTAAACTATCTCCAATTAAAGCCCCATTACAGGGAGAAGGGGTGGAGTCAGACACGAAGAAAGATGTTCCGTCTATAAGAACCTCTTCCTTGAGAAAACCGAGCGCCAAGAAAGGAGCTTTTAGCAGCTCTGTGAGTTGTTCATAATTTTAAAGGGCCATGCGGCAAAATTTTGATATAGTACATATAGATGTATTTGTGTACTTTATCTCTTTTTTCAATTTCTCTTTCTACATTTCTCTCTCTCTTTCTCTCTCTCTTTCTCTCTCTCTTTCTCTCTCTCTTTCTCTCTCTCTTTCTCTCTCTCTTTCTCTCTCTCTTTCTCTCTCTCTTTAGCCTTTTGATTCAGAAGGATCAGCAAGTGCCAGTAGTGCTACATTCGTTAAAGACTCAACCTTTACCGTTAGTAAGAACTCAGGATCTGAAAACAATTCAGTTTCCTTATCCAACGAAACTCAAATCCTAGAAACAGCTGGAGATAATGAAGGGGCACAGGACAACAAGAAGACTCAGAACGGCACATTTTGTAGCTCAGCATCTTCAGGGAAGAGTGAAGGGATAACTGGCTCAACAAAGATAGCGAAGAGTAGATTAGTAAAACCATCAAGTAGCACCACTGCTACTACTGCTGGGTGAGGGGGAGGGAGAGAGAGAAGGAGAGAGAGGAAAGAGAAGGGATAATGCATATACATGTACATGTATGTCATTTCTCTCTGTTTTTTAGTAAATCTAAATTAGTTCGACCTTCATCAGCTCGTACGGCCAGCAGTACAGCTGCTACTGGACTAAACAAGAAACCAATCAAACCAAACCTGATGGTAACCAAGGGAAAGACCCTAGCAACAACAACACGACCAGGAGCAACCAAACAGCAACCAATGGCCGCTAGAGGAGGAGGAGGGACTACCACTAGTACAAGTGGACTTAAATCAAAATCAGCTCCTAGCATTACTAGTAAAGGTAGTGGGGGAGCCCCTGCTAATAAGCCTTTAATTAAAGGGCCCAGTAACAAGACTAGTTTAACGAAAGGTATTGATAAAACTGATGGTGCTGGGGTGGGTGTGGGGGTTAAAAAAGGGAGTGTTCGCTCTGGCCTTGTGCCACCGTCTGTGACATCACGGCCTTCCTCAGCTAAAGCAGGAAGTCAAGTTGTCCCGCCCACTAAAGGAAAATCACTCCTCACTAGACCTGTCGCAAGGAAACCAGCTCTGGGCGGGGCTATGAAGAAACCGGAAGAGATTAAAAGAAAAAAGAAATTAGAATCAACGAAAGACGTGGGAGTGACTGAAACAGATTCTAATCAGGTGTCTGATGTAACCACACCCACCACCCGTAGACACAGCACTGGTGATACTCCAAAAATTAAAAGTGATGCCACACCCAACAGATTGAAAAGACGTTCATTCATACCAACCCCAACTAGAATAGTAAGTACTGTAATTGGGTGGGTGTGGTCAAAACTATAAATATATTTAATTGAGTGGGTGTGGTCAAAGTTATAAATATATAATTAGATATGTTTATGATGTTATAGACTGACAAAGAAGCAAGACCAATCTCTTGTCAGTTTGATGATCACCTTGTCAAACGTGCTGCTCAGTCTCGTTTTAGGAGACCGGTGGCTCCACCCAAAGGCGGGGCTAAAACTAACGGAACTAAACCTGTTGAAACTGCCAAACCTCCTGAGGTAAAAATATACATGTACATATAGGAGAGAGGGGGGAGGGAGGGAAGCAAAGGATATAGAGATTATCTGGTTTTCTCATTAATGTACTACTTATATGTGTACATTGTATGTGTAGGATCCAGTTGAGTCTGAAGAGGTTGAGTTTGAATATGATCCTGAATATGAAAAGCAGGTATAGATCCTCCTTTACCTCTCACTCCAATTCATACATGTGTATACACTATGTACATTATTATTATTATTATTATTATTATTATTATTATTATTATTATTATTATTATTATTGCTGTTATTATTATTATTATTATTATTATTATTATTATTATTATTATTATTATTATTATTGCTGTTTTGTATTGTATTGTGTCTGTCAACATTCATTATCATTGTTGTAATTTCATTTAATAATCAATTCATTTTTCCTGTCAGTCATTTAACTTTATTTTTGCTGTTTTATTTGAGTTATAATTTACACAAAATGTCTGACAAATCGCTAACAAAGAACTTGTAATTTTTTGGTACAGCACTTTACTTTAAAGGATACAGTATTTGTCATATCCTCCTTCTTCTCCTCTCTAGCTTTTATCCCTAACCTCCAAGCCCAAGGTGTTCCATTCTCCTCTAAATAAAGAGAACTTGCAAGAAGAGCCGCACTCAGAATGGTCCCCCATACCACGCAGGATGACCTACTTACCTGGAGACGAATCAATTCAATGCACAAAGTACACCCACATCAAAAATAACTCTTAATAACTTTTAATAACCATTAATAACCACTAATAACTGTTATGATCGATCTTTATAGCTCCTCCCACTGTCTCATTCTACATGTATACATAATTACACAACTGTACATTACTTGTTCTATTCTGTATTATTAACAATATTCGTAGCAGCTGTATGTGTGTGTGTGTCCACAGTAATACATGTATAGAGAGGTATTCTCATTCTGTGTGGTCTAATGTATGTGTATCATGTGTACCTATTGTAATAAGTTTATTGAGGTATAATTGTAATAATTATGAGACAATAGTAAAAGAAAATAGTAATAATAATAATAATAATAATAATAATAATGAAGAGAGAGAGACAGACAATATGAAAAGGATAATATTATTATTTATGAACTCAAGAGACTCGTTCAACTCCTCTATCCATCTCACTCACACAGACCCATTCATCTTCATTGGATTCTTTCCACAGCGTCACCTATCGCACGGTAAAGTAATATTGGGCCCCTTGTCCCCCCACAAGGGGTCTGGTGCACACTTACTTTGTGGTCTCCGCCCGAGACAGCCAGTATGTCACCTGTGATTGACCAACTGACGTGCCACACAACATCAGGGAAAGTGTTGAGTACCTTTTAGAAGACATTTTAAAATGATTATAATATAAAATTATTTTAAATATAAAATGGTCATAACTTGAAAATTTGAGCTCAGAATCAGTTCAAACTTTCTACACAGCATAAGTGCATCAATATGTATCAGAAAATGTAATAAAAATTTGGGGTGATTTTAGAGCCATTTTTCGGAAAAAACCATGGGCTATAGCCTTGGGTATTTTTCAAAAATTGGCCAATTTTTTAAAATGGCCATAACTCGAAAAATTGAGCTCGGAATCAGTTCAAACTTTCTACACAGCATAAGTGCATCAATATGTATCAGAAAATGTAATAAAAATTTGGGGTGATTTCGGAGCCATTTTTCGGAAAAAACCATAGTCTTGGGTATTTTTTTTAAATTGGCCAATTTTTTAAAATGGCCACAACTCAAAAATTTGAGCTCAGAATTGGCTCAAACTTTCTACACAGCATAAGGACATCAATATGTATCAGAAAATGTAATAAAAATGGAGAATTCTTTCATTTTTATTTTTGACAAAAATTTGTCCCTACTAAGTACAAGCCCAATTTTCAAGCAACTTCTATAGATTATTATCATTGTTAGTATTCTCTCACTTTAGAGGTCCATTTCCCTCCACTAGACTCATCCTTAGTCCACATGATAACTGTACAGTCCTACAGCAAGCAAAGAGGATATGGCGGGACTGATACATTAAGAGTACCTGAGAGCAGCTGGCTATTCTACTGACAGGGAGACCAATCGATGGAGCCCATGCAACGTCACGGACCCAGTCAGTGTGACCCTCAAGCTTATCCTCCATCATCCAGCTGTCCCCCTCCTCCCTCCACACCTTGACGGAGTTATCACCGCCACCTGTCACTAGTCTCTTACAAGTTGATGGAGCTGCACGAGAATTACCCTGAGAGAGAGAGAGAGAGAGAGAACTTCAAAAGTACCAGCAGATTCAAATATTACTAATTCTTACGTCAACAAGAGAGCCGGGATTAACGGAAGGTGCCCAGCTCACGGAGTTACACCCTAACTAAAGAAGAAAAGAATAATCTCTCCATCACACACACACACAGAGACTCACTGTATGTACTCCTTCCTGTCTTGAGTACTGCCAATTACCATCACCTAATGAGAGGGGCATCCCCTCTTAATAACACATGCACTAATGAGGTATTACCTGTCCTATATAATATGGAGAATGATTCGTCAGATGAACCACACGCAAGGACCAGCCCCAACTCGTGAGGTGCCCACTGTATACTATTAACTAAAGGGGAGGGGCTTGGGTCACATGACCTGTTTCTATTTTTAGTAACACGTACCGGATGACTTGTGTTCACAGAACTCGTGAAGCTTCGACCATTTTCCACTAGTTTCCTTCCATATGATAACCTAATGAGAAACCTTGTCGTCAATCATGTACATATACATATATGTACATGTACATGTACTATGTACTAATGTTACCTTTCTGTCGTAAGAACATGACGCAAGAATATTTCCAAATTTGGGATGAGCCCAGGAGAGCTGCCAGACTGGTCCCTCGTGACTATTTTTAAAAATTAAAAAAATAAAATGACTTCGTTACAATTTAGTTAACTTTAAAAAGCATTAAAATATGAAAACTTGCAGTCGCTATTTTTGAGTTACAGCTGACTGAAAAGCATGCTGATTTGCAGGGAAATGACTTCAAAAACACCTCCAAATTTTTGCTATATTTTCAATGCAATATTCCTTATAATAGTTTCAATAAACACATACATACTTCCCTCCTCCCCCTCACCCAGTCAGTGTGGCCAGTAGCACCGTCTGCTGGCCAGATACATCAAATATCTTGACAGTTCTGTCTGACGAACATGTAGCCAGTCTCTGCCCGTAATAATCCATTTGTGAGTCATGCTGTGCAATGAGTAATCAATTAGTTTGATAATTAATAGCTCTCACTATCATGTCCTCATGACCTGTATCAACACTGTTCTTCACACTAACCACACCAGTCATTTTGAGGCAGGGGCATCAATTAGAACCAGCTCTTTCACCTGCAATCTTAATACATATGGAGAGTTAATTTCTGAACTGACCTTGCTTTTGTATTTATAGTTGGAGAGGATTTAATTTTAAAGAACAATTCTTGTCTTTTTTCCAAACACAAAGATGAATGATCTTTTTGTGGTGATGTGTCCAAATGGGTAGGCACATGAGGGTTAAAAATTGACTAGATTTCTGCGCATGCGCGGAACCACGTGTCAAATAACAAGCAAAATAGAAGAAAGAAAGAAACTGACATTTTTCCCTCACAGTTTGCCAAAATGTCGAGTTTCTTTCTTCCTTCTAAAATCAAAAGTGGAGCTCTGGGGAAAAGGAGAAAGAAGCTTTCACAAGTCAAAAAGAAAAGGGTTAGTCTTGCTGTATATCTTTATTTTCATTTTAAGGACAAAGCAGGACAGCAAAGCCATTAAGAATAAAAAGATTCCATTAGCTACTACAATACCAACCGATGAAGACGAAGACATTCCTAGTGACTCTGACACTGAAAACAAGTGAGGATTGTATTAATAAAAATATTAATTATGTGGGTGGAGCTGAAGGAAAATGAAAAGGTGTGGCTATGGAAGCCATTGATGTTGGATGTAGTATCATATATTTCTAAGGAATTATAACAAAAGTGTAAAAGGTATAATAAATGGATTTTGTGGTTCTTTTTCTGTTTATTTATATAATGCATTATAAAAATATAAAACTACAAAAAAGCTGCAATAGTTGAGTTATGATAGCCATGAAGTATTCAGTCCTAACGATGATCTGGCTCATCTTTTCCCAACTTTTGTTCTATGAGATACAAAATTATCAACAACAACAGTATCAATCATTATACATACCTATTGGTTTGCAGTAATTGCTAGTAGGTGGTCCCATTTTCCTCAGTA